AAAATCCAAATGGATTCTAATACATGTATCGACCTTGCAATTTCCTATTGTCAGCAAACAGAATCCAGAGAGTCTGTAATGCCAGACAATATCATCATTTAATTTAATTAAATTTAGTTTAATTTGCTGTGCTTCCAATTATTATTTTTCTCCATACTTAATTTGTCCTAAGTTTGGCTTGTGGCTTTCAAATTACTTGCTGCCTAACAATTGCAAGGCAACTGAGCTGAAAAGGGTTAATAAGAATGTACACTATCTGCATCAGAGCTCATAATAAGAGTTTAGTCCTTTATTTCTCTGTTCTAGTGCATTATTGTTTCTAGGTTGTTCTTTTGAGCATATTTGTGAAAATAGCTTCTTAAGAATAGTAAGAGGTCAAAGAAACATGGAAAAAGCAAACATGCCAGTCCAAATGGCAGGATGATTCCTGTGCAGACATGGCAAACTGGTAAATTTATTCAGGGACTGTTGTAAGAGAACACTTCAAAGCTTAGATCACAATCTCTTAAAGTTTCTCAAGACATTGTGACAGATGTTGAGAGAAACCTAGCACTGACTTCCCTGGGATGACCTGAAAGAGGATAATTAATCAAAGATATTAAATAGGATGAGATGCTGACTTGTCCAGCTGTTCACAATATCTTCTACAATAGCTAATGCAAACATCTTTTAGCAGAGTAATCACTAGTGATCAAGAAACAGTATTTCACTTGTCATCTAGCTGGTACTCATGGTCAACAAGGTATCTGTGGACAACTTTGGTATCTTTCCTATCCCATTCTACTTTTCAATATTTTAAAATATTGTTTTAATGTTAAATAAATGTTAAAAGGAATCTGTCATTCTGCAAAGCAAAGCACAACCCCAGAATTGGATTCCATATAAGCTCCATATGAAGTCTTAGAAATTAAAAACGGTGAATGATTCTAGGCCAGTATTTTCTTTGTAAAATGACGGATTAGTTAATAGTTGGTAGTGATTATCCTGCAGAGGTAGACAGGACAGCAGAGAACAACTTCACCAGTTTGCCTTCTAATGGATTGGTCTTCTGAGGCTGGCTGCATCAGCTGTGATAACCATTTTGTGAATGGGTGTACCATTCCTTTGATGACAGAAGGTAGTCTTCAAATGTCAAATATATCTACTGGGTCCAAAAGATTGGAGTTCTCTGGTCCTTTGCTGGAAAGGATAATATTACAACTGGATGGACTTGTAGTCTGGCTAAATCAACCATTTCCAACCTCCACCTAATAATCTACTTACTTATTTAGCATTTTAAAGAAGAGACATAAACAAACATAAAAAGAGATGAGAAAAAGATAAGATACAGATTAACAAACATAAGATGCAAAGTTATTCTAGACACTGAAGCATAGTCTCACAACTTAGCCTTTTGCCACCCTGTCGGGGTTATTGGGTAGGTAGAAATTCTGGGAACTTCAGTCCCCGTACATGTGGAATTTACCAAGTTGGGGAAGGCTAGACTACACACTAAGACTAAATTTACCTTTGGTTATAGATGGTTCTTGCAACTACAGCATTATATAGCTCAATACATCCAGAGGAATCCTTGCAAAGATTTACAACACCTTTGCAGATCTCAGATTCTGCTGCCAGAGATTGCTTTTATAAGAAGTGAGGTGTTGATTCAGAGAAAGAGTTTAACCGCTATTAATTTCAGTGAGATCTCAATAAGAAAATAGAGAAATAGAGAGACACTCAAAAGAATACTTTGCTATTGTATAATAGCAACAACAAAGACACAGTATTTTAATGTAAAACCAACTAGTCATTATCCAGGTATTATTGGGAAAGCACCTGAAAGAAAAACTATGAATATATATAATTTGTTTAGTGCCCCACCTAAGCGACTGAAGGACTCTTTCCATCCCATAGCACAATAGGTATTTTTCTTATGGAGCCAAGGTTGCATATTAACTTTAAAATGATGTGCTATGTCTTAGGCAGGCTACTGCAGAATGCCAAAACCTGCAGCTTGGTTGCTAAGAAAGGACTGCTGCTGCTTAGATAGTTTGCTCTAAAGCTCCAAAAAATCAGTCACATATGGTAAGGAAAGATTATGCCCCCCATCTTTGATGTTATCAGTTTGAGCAAGTGATATAGAGATGCACATTTCACATCTGCTTCATGACTCATTCACCATGGTGAATGGGGCCCAGCCTGTTCTGGATATTTTAAATCATATATTTTATGAACATTTTAAATCATATATACCATAAGCCAGGGTTCCTTAACCTCAGCAACTTTAAGATGGGTGGACTTCAACTCCCAGAATTTAGACTGGGAATCTGATTGCTTATGGCAGGGTTCCTCAACCTCAGCAACTTTAAGATGGGTGGACTTCAACTCCCAGAATTTAGACTGGGAATCTGATTGCTTATGGCAGGGTTCCTCAACCTCAGCAACTTTAAGATGGGTGGACTTCAACTCCCAGAATTCCCCAGCCAGCCAAGTCCACCCATCTTAAAGTTGCTGAGGTTGAGGAACCCTGCCATAAGCAATCAGATTCCCAGTCTAGTATACCTATTGATACAGGTTTCTTATTAAAAGATACAGTGAATTTTAGCCATTTTTTCTGTTGATAGATATGTTGTTTGACCACAATAATCCAAGCTCTAGTAATCTCCAATCTATAGTACTGCCATGTGTACCACCAGGGCCTACTTTTAAAAATGGTTTGGAAATTGTAGTTGGTCACAATGAATCCCCAAGTTTATTGATGCAATTGAATGCTTTAATCATGCTGTATCCCTTGTGTGTCAGATAAACAGTCTTCCAGCCCATTCTCTACAGATCTTAATTTATAAAGCCCTGGATGACTTTATTGTATACTTGGAGGACTGCCTTCTCCTTCCTTCCTTCCTGGTCAGCATCTCTGAATTTTAAGATCTTCTTTAGAGGCTTCAGTGTACCAAATAAGTACAAGTACCTCATTTAACTATCACAATTGCAACTGGGAACTTGGTCATTAAATGACGCGATTGCCAAGTGAAGCCATGACTGTGCTTGTGATCTTACTTCAGCTTTCCTTTGTTTTACGGACCTGCGAAGGTTGTAAATGCAAGGACTGATTTCAAAGTTACTTTTTCATCACCGTCATAACTGCAAATGGTCACTGTCTGAGGCAGTCGCTAAGCGAGGACTACCTGTAAAGAGTTAGCTGAGTACATGAAATAGGCCTTTGTGGGATAGGCACTTGGTCCAGTGAAATCATTTTTAATCTATGCAGTCACTTTGAATAATATCTTACTCGAACCTTTTCAATTTATATTTAGATAATTTATATTATCTAAAAGGCATGTTTAATTTCAAATATTTTCTATTTGTTTCCACAGAGCCTAAATAATCACTGTTATAGATGGTTTATATAAATACGATACATGTGGCTTGAAAAATATCTGACACTTGCTCATGCTGGATTTTTTTAAAAAGGATGTATTGTTTCAATAAAAATGCTACTGGATCAGATAGATGCATTCCAATTTATTTCTAGTTAGTTCTCATCAGTTGCACTACAGTATTCTGCTATCCTAGACAAGTCTAAACAGCAGTTAGCTCCTGTGAGTACATTTAGATAACTTTACAGAAAATAATATTCAGGCAGCACCACAACTAGGAAATCACACACAAGGACACACACAAAATGCAAGCATTCCCACCCTCTCATACACTCAAATACATATATGTGTGTATGTGGGGAATAAGCAAACATTAAGTGGATTAATATGCTTTTTCTGTACCTTTTTTCCTTCTCTTTTTAGTTCTTCCTCTTTTTTTCCTTTAACTTTTCATTTATTTTAAGAGGTTTACATTGCCGGATTTACATTTAACTTAATTTGTAATTTGGAGGAGAGGCTAAAAATAAAAAGAGGAAAATTGGGGGGAAGAAGGCGAAAGAGGAAAAAAGGCATTACTGAGTGGTTAAGTGTTTTAAATTCAGACTGATTTCAGTAGGACAATTAATCTTATAGGCAGTTTGTTTCATTTTTTTTTTAAATGAGAGATGCAGTTTCTAATTCTGAATTGCACCCATATACGTTTATAGTTCGTGAACAAAATCCTGATAGAAGGCAACTGCCAAGGATCAATCAACAAAGCAATAGATGTATTAATTTGGGCAAGAGAAAAGCTGAATTTTGCCACACATGTGTCACACTACTGTACAAGTAACTATTCATTATAATACTGAAGACAGATTGACATTTTAAGAAATATACTTTTTATGAGGATGAAGAAAACTTCTATAGTGTGCTAGACGCTTATGACTGGCATATGCTTCATAATGTGGGAATGTATGAAGTTCATGCATCTACCTTTGCAACGATTTGTCAAAAGCACAAATAACCAATGTAAGTATTTGCAGGATGAAGACCTATAACTGATTTCACAATACAATTGTCTTAACTCAACTGATAGCCAGCATTTCTGTATCCTTATCACTTCCCTAGCTTCTAACCTACATTTTCAGAGTGGCAGTTGATAGTGTTGATAGGACAATGAGAAAGTGAGAATGTTATTAATAAATGAACCACTGCAGGACACTGTCAGGATAAAGAGAAAGATGAAAACTGAACTGGATTTGTTTTTGTTGCAGTTTTTAAAATATTGGTTAGGATATTTCCAAAATATTTCATTTAAGGAGCAGTTGCCCACAAACAGAACATAAGAACTGAACAGTTAATGTTCAAATAAAAATTAATTGGGTAATTAAAACTGGACAAAGACAGACCAAATTTAATGCTGAAGGGGGGGGGAAAGAAAAATGGTTGATTCCATTGTTTATTTCGGCCACTTATGGGACTGTTTGCATGGATACTTGGAGTTAACGGCCAGGGTTTTTAGCCTGTCAGTGTCCCTCCAGGAAAAAGCAATAGCCCGAATATATTATAAGCCCTACATCAGGTGAGCGTCCATGATTTCAGGAAAGCTATTACTAGAGAGGAGAAATGGCTCCAAGCCCCAGCAGTGGTGATACTCACGTTGGCATTGGCCCCACGAGTGGCGAGCCCAGCCCCAGCAGCAATCCACTCTGCTCCCAAAACGGCACAATCCAGCCGAGGAAAGGATCTGCCTGGGCCACCTGCATCAGCACCAAAAATAAGCTTTAACGAGTAAGCCCAATGACTCGGTTCACATAAGTTACAGGTGGTTGAACTAGGCCAGTGTTGTCCAAATTTGGCCACTTTAAGATGAGTGGACTTCAACTCCCAGAAT